AGGCCGACCTCGTGCCCCGCCTTCACGGCCGCGGATTGGCCCGCGACGGGCCAGTCAGTCGCGCTGGCGTCTGGGAAGGAGAGAAAATGGCGTCCGAACCGAGCAAGACCGAGATCCAAACCCTTTTTAAGAGGCTTCGCGCAATTCCGACCAACAAGGTGCCTGAGCGGGAGGCGCGCGGGGTCTAGCGCCGGCCGAGAGGAACTCTCCCGGCTCCCCTGGGGCCCGAGGGAAGGAGAGGGGGCGGACGTGGGCAGTTTTCCTGGGTGTCAGTGCCCGGCCTCCGCTCGGGGTCCCTGATCATCCGCTCATCGCCTCCTCCATCCAGGCCTGCTTCGACTGTGGCGCCAAGAATCCGAGTTGGGCCAGCATCACGTACGGTGTTTTCTTGTGCATTGACTGCTCCGGGGTGCACCGCTCCCTGGGTGTCCATCTCAGCTTCATCAGGTGGGGTCTCCTTATGGCGGCTGTGTTTCTACCCGGCCAGGGCTGTGCGCTCAGCAGGGCAGAGTGGCGACCTGACGGTCCTGAAGTCGGTGTTCGGAAACCTCCCGGCCGGGGTCCGGTAGCCTCCCACGGGAGGGAATCGCCTGCGTAGACCCCTGACCACATAGACAGTGCGTTTCCGCGTCTGGGTCAAACTCCCTTTCCTGGCGGCCAAACTGGACTCTCCGAACGTTCGGTTTGGAGAACAATTAGCTGCACTGCCCTTGTCGTTGCTGACATATTGGTCGAGTACGTCTGAAGTGAGACCGGCCGTCCTCAAGTAGAAAGCCAGGTCCAAGCTTAGGGCCTGAGAATTCAACCGCCCTCTGATCTGGACAATAATTAGCGCCCGTTTGACTCTGAGGCTGAGGAGCAGAGCTTTCGTGGGCAGGGAGCAGTGGAGGACATGGGGTGGCGGGGGGGTGCTGCCGCCCGAGACCACAGGCAGGCTGGGTCTGCAGGGAAGCGCCCCCCGCGTCTGCTGGTGACACGCAGCCTTGCACACAGGTCCACAGAGTTGGATTCCAACTGGAGCTGGTTCCAGCTGAGGTGCATGCAGGTCGGCGGGAATGCCAATGCGGTAAAGCCCCCCCACCCCCCTGCCATCCTCTCTGCCCTCATTCTTCCGCCTGGGGCTAACCTGACCGTGACCTCAGGGGAGGCCCCCCCAGTTTCTCTGTTCAGAGGATTCTTTGGGCTATGGCAGCGCTGTATATGGTTCTCTAAGCGTGGAAATGGGTCACTGTTCCACTCAGAGGGGCTTCAGATGAAAACTCAAGTGGACAGAGGTTCCCGGGGAAAGGCCGGGGGAGTTGGGGCCTCCAGCCTTCTCGGGCCCGGCCTGGGTGGGTGGAGGCTGGGCACAGCGGGGATGGCATGCTGTCCTCAGGCGGGGTTGGGTGAGGGCTGGGCTTCAGTCCGTCATCCCTGGATGGGAGGCTGTTTTCCGCAGGGATTCCTGAGAATCTTTACCTCCGTGAAGAACTTTACCTCTCTTATTTATACAGGATAACATCTCCTGTAACTGGGCTGTTAGAAGGGGCTGCCTTTTATTTTGCTGTGGGGAGAATCACCTGTAGCACGCTCTCCTCTCTTTTTCTCCAGACAGCTTTCTTCCGCCAGCATGGATGCACAGCCAGTGATGCCAACACCAAGTATGATAGCCGAGCTGCCCGGATGTACCGGGAAAAGATCCGGCAGCTGGGAAGTGCAGCCCTGGCTAGGCATGGCACCGATGTGAGTGCCTGGTCCCGGGCTGGGGTAGTGTGATGAGGAGGGATATTCAGAGCCCTGTTTCAAGCGTGTCTTGTCCTTTCCAGCTTTGGATAGACAATATGAGTGGTGCTCCCAGTCACTCTCCGGAGAGGAAGGATTCTGATTTCTTCATGGAACACACTCAAGTGAGTACCCACAAGGACGGTTTCCCATGATTGCTGCTGACAGGTGGTTAACTGGCCAAGGCCTTCTGTAATCCTGGGCATGGATCCCATTCGCCTTGGTGTGATACCTCAGACAGGGAATGTCTGGGCCCATTGCTAGGCAGGCCCAGGTGTCTCCTCCTCCCGGAGTGGGTGTGCAGTGTGGCCCTCCTTAGGAATGGACCCCGTCTATAACCGGGTGCTAGGGAGGAGGAGAGGCATCTTGAAGGCTCTGGAGCTGTGGGGAGCCTCCAACAGCTTTTCCTGGACTCTTCCCCTGTCAGAGAGGCACTTGTGGCTGGGACTGTGAAAGGAACCTCCTCGGAAGCCCACCCTGGGCGGAGGTTCCCCCTCTGTGAGACTCTGTCAGTTTGAATCCCAGCTCCTCTACTTGGCATTTCCAGGATGTGGCTAAGTCACTTAACCTGTCAAAACCCAGTCTTTGCAGTAGAGATGTATCTACTTTACAGGGTTTGTTGTGATCATTAAAGTTTTTGTATGCGAAAAGCTGTTAGACTTGTGCCTGGCACTTGGTAAGTGCCTACTAGTTGTTAGTTGTTATTAAATTAGGGGTGTGGGTCTGAGTAAATAGTGGAGGGGTGGAAGTGGCTGCTAGTTTCCTACTTCTTTCTTCCATAGTGAATAGCAAGTATAATTGTACTCACTACCTGTCAGTCTCCTTTCCTCATGGGCTTGGAGTAGGGCTGGTATCCAGAAGGTACTTGTAGGTTCTTTGTGCTCCCTGGAAGCTCATTGAGGTGTCTGTGATCTGGCTTCCTTTTCAGCCCCCTGCCTGGGATGTACCAGCCACCAACCCCGCAGAGCCCGAGCAGCCAGCCCCATCTACAGAAAGCAGTGGATTGGCACGTGAGTTCAGCCCAGAGTCCAACCAGGAGCCCTGGTCCTGGCAAAGGCCTCGGAGTTGAGACATCTGGTCAAGGGAATAGGAGTAGGGAGTGCCCTATATCTCTGGGTGGGCTGGGATGCACTTTAATCCTTTGGAGAGAGTAATGGGCATTCCTTTATCTTGGTGGCCTCAGCTGAGGAAAGCCAGTGCCTCCTACTCTTGTCCCCTCATCTCCCTAAAGGGAAGTCACAGGAAGCTTTGAGCCTTATACCTAACTCCCACCATTGCCTCCACAGAGCCGGAGCATGGCCCCAACACGGACCTGCTTGGCACCTCACCCAAAGCTCTGGGTCAGTATGACAGTTGGCGGGGTGGGGCAACTGGGAGAGGCTCTTTTCAGATCTGCTGCTGCCTAGTCATATGGACTGAGGCCCCAGGACACTGAGCATCTTAGCTCTCTGGACTGGGACTGGTGTTGAATTCATGGCTTCAACATCAACTGCAAGGGCTTGAGAGCCAGGCCTTTGAATTGATGAACCTGGGTGGGTTGGTGTGTAAGGCCTGGGTCGGCCTCCTGGTATGGGGCTGGTTCTAGTCAAAGTGTGGAAAGGCCAGCGTGAGACTGGACATCTAACCCTGAGGTCTGAGGCAGGGTTGGCCTTCTGGTCCATTTCATGGGATAGGGGGACAGCTCTGAGCTGCTCAAGGCTGGAGGTGACATTGTCCTTTCTTAGCCAGGGAGGCCTTTCAGGTCTTTTCTACTCTTTAGTGTCCTTTGGTTCAGGGTGAACAGTCCATTTGCTGACCTCGGTTTGTTCTGTTGACCTTTGGGGGTTGGGGCAGGAAGCCAGCAGGAGACTGTCAGACTGATCACATGAGAAGGCTGGCATGACTTGGTCTAAAGCAAGGCTCTGTAGAGACCTCTGGGCTTGGGAACTACATGGAGGCTCTGGGGTGGGCCCCTTGTTAGCCACAGTCTGTTTCTCTCCAGAGTCCATGTATCTGTCACCTAAAGGGGCCCTTCCTGCCAGAGGTAACCAACAGCCACTTGGGGAGCCTAGCCCCTTGCACGCAGCTCCCTGCTTCAGGAACTGAGGCTGATGTTTGGCATCTGCCCCCGCCTAGTGGTCCTCATATTTGTTCAGGGACTTTGTCTCTGCTGCTTCAGGTCTAGTTCTTGTCTCAATCTGCTGGGAATCCCTTAATCTTGTCTGTCTTAGGCTTAGACTATCCTGACACCATTAATTGGAACTGGTGGTGGCAGCTTTGCCTTCCCTGCCTGAAGCTATTCTTTTTAGAAGCTCTTGCCAGGAAACTGCATGGTGTGGACTGAGCTGCTGCCTCTGACCTCCCTTTGTCTTCACTCATGCCTCACCTTGTTTCTCATGCAGAAATGAAAACCTCCCTCATTGGCAAGAAGAAGCCAGCAGCCACGAAGAAAGGGGTAGGTGGGGAGAGGCAGTATGGGAGAGTGGTCAGGAGCCAGAGTCAGCCTGCCTGGGTTCACCCCTTGGCCCTACCAGTCACTGGCTATGTGGCTTTGGCAGAGGTACTCAACTTCTCAGAACCTTATCTGTGCAAGGGCTGTGAAGATGCTTATCTTCAAGGGCTCCTGGAGGAGTCCG